CCCCAAAACCCCAAAACCCCAAAACCCCAAAACCCCTATCTGCTTATAATCATTGATTACATTATTGTAAAATATGAAGGCTCTGTTATACATCTGTATCCTCCTTTTGCTCAGGCCAGCTTTTGCAAATATGGCCCCTTTAAAAACTCAGATTGATATCCTAGTGCAAGAAAACCCAATTGTGACTAACCTTGCTCAAGCGATAGATGGGTACGCAAAGGATTTGGCTACCAGAAGAAACCAAGCCAAGGATGGCTATAGTCTGTTCGGGAAAGAAAGGGAACTCGGCTTTATTTGGCAGAACAAGCTTACATGTAGCACATGTAGATATGTTACAGATTGGTTTGATGATATTATTGTGTTCAAGCCTTTTAGATACACCTTTGAGAAAGGAATCTCTCTTCTTTGTACAGCCTTTGTTGATTATAGAGTTTGCTCTGGAGCAGTTGAAGCAATGGCGGAAGTCATACTTCCTCAATTAGCTAGTGGTATCTTTGGACCTGAATACGGATGCTCAAGAATGTTGGGATTCTGCTCAGATCCAAATTTCAAGACCTTGGACCCTCAAGATTATATCGATCGTGTCTTATCCGATAAGCCAGAAATTATTTCAGATAATGATTATATTAATAAGAAATATGAAATGATCAGCCAAGATCCGAAAGAGAGAAAAACAGTTTCAATCCTTCATATAACTGATGTCCATCTCGACTTTGATTACACTGAAGGGATGAATGCTAAATGTAACGAGCCTCTTTGCTGTAGAGAGATCAATGGGCCTCCCAAGCATCCTGAGAATGCTGCCGGAAAGTATGGTGACTACAACTGTGACTTGCCCCCAATCGTGGCTGAAATGATGATTGAATATGTTAAGGAGCTTCCTGACCAACCAGATTTTATCTTCTGGACTGGGGATAATATTGCTCACGATATTTGGAATCAGAGCTCCCATAAGAATGCTGAGTATACTATCCAGATGACAAACTGGCTTCAGAAGCATTATGCTGATATCCCTGTGTTCACTACTCCAGGTAATCACGAATTCTATCCAGTTAACGTGATGACATTTGACGAAGTCGATCCTCTTTTTGAAATGCTTGGAGGAGTCTGGAGAAACTGGCTAGATGACCAAGCCTACGAAAGCTTCATAAATTATGGATTTTACTCCATGCCTCTTAAAGGAATCGCTGAAGACTGGAATGGGTTCAGAGTTATGGTCCTCAACACTGGAGTCTGCAATAATATGAACTGGTACCTTCTTACTCAACTTAATGATCCTTTGCAACATCTTGAATGGATTGAGGATACTTTGAGGCAAGCAGAAGAGAATAATGAAAAGGTCTATATTATATCTCATGTTTTCCCAGGAGGAGCTGACTGTTTATATGAATGGTCTGTTAGATACAGAGCTATTGTTGAAAGATACCAACATGTAATCTTGCATCACTTTGTTGGTCATGACCACGTCGAGTTCTTCAACATCATCACTGATACTAAAAATCAAGACGACATTGGTATGATGCAAGCTCCTGGAGGTGTTACTACATTCACAGATGACAATCCAGCATTCAAGATTTATGAAATAGATTACGAAACCGGTCTTCCTGTTAGAGGTCACAAGCACTTCTTCAACATCACTGAAGCTAATCTTGGAAATCCAAGATGGCAATACGATTTTGAACAAACTGAAGAGTATGCAATGGCAGATCTTTCTCCAAGAAGCTTCAGAGATTTGACAGAAAGATTCCTCACAGAAGAAGGAACAGCTACAAAATATTTCAAAAACAAATACACTAGGTCAGATACTCTTGGAAAAGGAGATTGTGAGACGGAGAAATGCAAGAAAGAAATGGCATGCAAAACAGGAAACTTTATTCATTTCGAAGAGAGGGACTGTCTTGGAGAAAAGAGAATCGACTATATCCATGACTTTACAGACTCCTTGTTTGAAACAATGTTTGATCCATGGGTTATTGCTCAGTAATCTATCTCTAAAACATTGCTTAGGCAGAATTTCTCATTAGCTAAGTAACTTTGCATAATTTTAGCTTTTTAGTACTATTATTCCTTTATTTCCAATCATTATTTCAATTCCATCGTTGGAGAAAGGGGTTTTGGGGTTTTGGGGTTTTGGGGTTTTGGGG